TTAAATATATTTAAATTCTTTTTGCTTAAGGCACTTATATTTTTGGTAGCAGCTTTTTCCACCAACATGTTAAAGATATATAAATAATGCGTTATAAACAACAATCTTAAAAGTTAGACAGATTTTTGCTACCAGGTATTCCCGGTGCTTTGTTCGATAACACGAGTATGACAGTATGATGTACTTCTGTTTTTATCATTGTCATGGCAACTGTTGTCATGCAAATATTATTCTGTCTACGTTGAGAAAAGTGAGGATAGTTGGTTTCACTTAAAGAAAACACCCAACTAACCCTACTGTCACCGTGTGTGCAAGATGTGTTTACACATTATAGATCACATATATACATACTGTATTTAACTTTAGGTATCAGCTACTAGTTTATAGACATTAGTATTTATTAATAGATTTAAGCTAAGTCTAAGGTGCGCCTAACAACAAGAACTTAACAAATGTGTGTAGATTATTGACTAGTAATTAGCATGGTTATGTCAGTTTTTTGGGTATTTCATTATAACATAAAAGGTAAGCTAATCAGTAAGTTTGATTTTGTATGCGCTTAAAATTTGTTAGAGATCTTAAGTATTATCGTCTGACACATTCCTATATTATGCATTTGTACTGGTTTATAAACAGTATATATTAATAGATTTAGGCTAAGCCTAAGGTGTGCCTAACAACAAGAACTTAACAAATGTCTGTAGATTATTGACTAGTAATTAGCATGGTTATGTCAGTTTTTTGGATATTTCATCTTAACATAAAAGGTAAGCTAATCAGTAAGTTTAATTTTATATGCGCTTAAACTTTGTTAGATATCTTAAGTATTATCACCTGGCATATTCCTATATTAATTTATTATGCATTTGTATTAAAATGATATGTATATATATTTTTCAGAAAATACAGGAGTTATTGCAGTTCAGTGATGGAAAAATATGAAAAAATTTCAAAAATCGGTGAAGGATCATATGGTGTTGTGTTTAAATGTCGCAGCCGAGAATCAGGGCAACTTGTAGCTGTGAAGAAATATGTGGAGACAGAGGATGATCCAATGATTAAAAAAATTGCATTAAGAGAAATACGAATGTTAAAGGTTTTTATTTTATTTAACTGCATTAACTAGTTTCTATGTTTATTTAGACATAATTTAGATTTGATTAT